TATTCTCTCTCAAGTTAGGCGGGTCACAGATCTCCATACTTTAGCCACCTCTAGCTTGTGTCTGTGCGGTATTCTATTTTGGATATCACGCCTTTTACTTTGACATACTCTAATTAACCTTAGTGGGGAGCTCTTACAATTTAAATAGCTTTGAATCAAACGGTTTAGGATCAGTATAGAAGACAACCAGATTTTTTGACAAGACACTTGAATCGTAGTGACTGAATTTCTTCATAGAACAGTTTTGTATATAAGAATCTGTCGTCGCCTTCTCTGTTCAGACAAAGAGATATCCAATCCAGCTTCCAACTGTTTTCTTCAATCTCCAGAATGTACCATACTTCTCATTGATATCTCATACGGGCATTGTTAAAAATGGGGTGAATATTTTGCGAAAAAATTTGAATAAATATTTTCGGGCCTCACAAACGACTCTCTCTCTTTAGGATCGTGTCATGGTGAGGTCAGTAAATTTTAAGACCTATTAGGGATGTAACTGTATGCTTGTTGATAACTGTGCTACTGTCAAATGATTTTTTCTTTTAGAGTTACCACGACAGTCAGTGTGACAAGCATATGAATTATTACATAAACTTAAAATGTACGCAATTCAGAACAAGATTGATTTTTGCAATCTGAATTTATCTTAATGTGACAATGATGGGTTATAGGAAATAAACATTTATTAAAACACTAAATTGAATTAGTTATTTTAATTAACTGATTCCGACGGGAACCTTCTTCTGGTTTTCGCAATTGATACAAAAAGCTCGAATAAAAAAAGGGTTTTTCTTTTAATAGTTTCTTGTTTTCTGTTGTACAAGTGTACATGGTTACTGAATTATGTCCTTTATAATTCTTCGGCAACAAGAAAAGGTAAAGTTATTTTCCAGTAACCCTGGAATGCGTAATGTAAATTGGCCACCATTAAGAGTTTATAAGGCTGACATTTCTAGCGTTAGCCCTTCGTCAGAGAAAATAGAGGAATTGTGGAGCTCTGCTATAGGTGGGAACATGTTATCACTAGTAGCGTGGATCAATCTTTTTGCACATATACCCCAAACAACCCACAATTCTTCTATTCGCTATGACTAGGGACTAACGCTCGAAAAGTCAGCTTCTGGAATTTTTTTACTGTGGCTGATTCGCATTATGAACTCAATAGGTAAGACCCTGAAACTATCTTGTAACATCGCCCTCTCACCACCACCGACGCAATACCACGGTTTCCTTAGAAACCAACCCCATTGTAACTAAACGAGATCCCATTGGTTATTGAATTACAAAGGAGCGCTGTATCAGCATTATTCCGTAGCGCTAAAGCAATGATTGCCATGTCGACAATCTTGTTGCCTCTTAAACTGTCCTCTCATATATTCACACGATTCAGTTTCATTATATTTGTCCGTCTGTTCAATCTGTGAAGAAATGTTATTTCATGGACGGGCGAATAATCACTCTTCCTATCTATCTCCTTTTCTATTTCCACATTTTATTTGCCATAAATTCCGGTAAATGATACAAAAGGATGTAATAAGAAGAATTGCTTAAAACTGGAGTATTAGCCAAAAATTCATCTGATATTTTCGCTCTGACGAAGGGCAATCACTCGAAACGCCAGCCATGGAACTCTTTACGTTGGCTGATTTATATTATCAACTTAGATGATAAAACCAAAATTATCTTCACGCACGTGCAGAAAATAACAGTAGTTAGTCACCAAGGTACAAGTCGTATTGTTGATGGTAATCATTTCCTTTACTCTTGTGACCCTGATGTGTGACTCAGGGGTGAAGAGAAATTAGATGCTGTTCTCTCTAAGAGGCTCAAGAAGGTCAAAGGTTGAAGAAATGACCTCCGAGCTTCATTAAATTTCCAAAGGATTTTATTACAACTCCTTTCGCATACAAGAACGCTATAAATAAAATTTATTTACACATCGTCAATTTATTTTCTCTTAGAACTATTTTGAAAACATGTCACAGTTATATTGTTTCGTTGACATCGTAACAGTTGAGGTAAAACTCGTATAAATTCCTTTTACCTGCAAAATTCTCAAATTTAGTCGTCAACAGACTGTTAGTCTTTGCTGTTGTTCTGCAATGAATTTTGTTGCTGGAATATTTCATCAGAAATACTTTCCGACACCTAGTATCCGTCTGCACGCCAATACACTACTTGCTACGAAATGAAATTTCCTTTAGGGAACGAATCTTATCAATGTACAACTATCTTTTTATTTTAAACGTTTTTGGTTTTCATTTCCAGGTTTTTACAGCTCATTAAATTTTATAACGTATCAAATTTCTATGCGATGGTTGCCTATTAAAGGAAATGAAAAAAAAATTATTTCCAAACTCTAAAAAACAGAAGGTTTAAATAAAATATATCTCGTAAAGTTTTCCTTTTATATATCGTTTAACTTTTCTTCACTCTTCTGATCTAGTTTTTGAGTACGAAAGAAATGAAGTTTTACTTCCGTGATGTGGGACAATTTTTCATCCATTATTGAAAAGTAGCAGAAAAGGTTTTTTCTTGTGTAAATTTACCATCTCAGAAAGAAAATTTTAAAAAATCACCATTTTTAACGATTCCCAACTTAATTTATCTGCGTTTTGTTAGAAATAAATAAGCAATTTCTCTTATGAAGCACACTAGATATATGTTAAAATTTTAAATATAAACGTTAAACTATTTCTTAGCGCAGAAAGCTGCTGAACTTCTCTTAATTTTACACGATTTACAAACAATAAGAAAAAAAAATTCAAAGATGTTTACTTTGTTTTCGTATTAGCATTTAACTACAACGCAACGAACGGTAAATAGCAAGTTTAATCGTCTGATAAGTCAATAGTAACGGGTTGTTTCTTTGAAGGCGACGAGTACATCCCAGAACTATCCAGGCTTTTCTTGACTACATTTTCTAACTGTGAAGGACTTTGCAGATTTCGATGTTCCTTTTTAAATATGTTCGATAGAAAATGGTCATTCATTTTTTCGCTTTCAAGTCTTTGTTGGGCTCGATTTTGCTGTCTACAGTATCGCATAAACTCTTCATGAGCCAACATATGTTGAGAGTGATATTTACTTTGCGGGCTCATTATAAGCTGCTGCTGAAGCTGACGATCAAAAGGCGTCGACGCGAGCGCGTGAACCGGCAAGGCAGCTAATTCTTCAGGGAAAATGCCACGCGCATTATTGCCGTGAAGATGCATGAGTTCAGGGTGTTGCCATAGAGACGGATTGTTCCTCCATGAAGTAAGTCCTGGATGTTGTAGATAAGCTTGGTCGAGAGCCGAAAGACTAGCGGCTTGTAAGTTTTGAAGGTGTTGTTGCTGCTCGTGAGGATGAATGTGAAAATGCGTGTGAAGATGAGAATGCGAGTGTTGCTGAGGTCCGTAATACTGGAGTCCTGTAGCGGGATCAGTAGTAAGAACACGTCCAGGGCCCCCCTTGAGGAGGGACTCGTGGCTGCGTGAGTCCAATGCGCTTTGTTCTAGCGCCCTACCCTGCCCCTGAAGATAAGAGATTGCAGAGAGATGGTGACCAGATTGCAATTGGGCTGAGCGATAAGGCGCATACCATTGCTCAAACCCTTCCGCAAATTTCGCGGCATTTTCCCTGGAATCCCCGGCGGGGACCACGCCCATTCCAGAGAACATGTGGAAAGGAAGCATTCTGTAGTCCACTCCGACACTCGGGGGTGGAAATCCTGATATATTGATGCCCTGGGATGACATACCCGGCGGTATATTCGGGGGATACAAGTGATATTGTCCTCCAGCCATGTAATTTCGAAGTGACGCCTCGTAATGCGAAGTAACAGTAGCTGGAGCGTTGTACGGGGACTGACTGGCGTTGGATCGAACTGACACTTCTGTAGAAGATTCACTGGCCTGAAGAACAAAAGAGGGACTTTGTCTTTAAGAAACGTTCAGGACATTTTCAAGACATATCTTAATTTGAAGAAAACGAGCTATTTTGCTTTGAAACCAATCAATTGTTAAACATTTTGATTCCCACTCTATTTCCCGAAAGATGCGAGATTTGCATGGTGCAGTCGAATGATATACACCTCTAACTTATTACTTCAGTAACAGACTTTGCCGCGCTTCCAAAATTGGGTTGGAGTGTTTGAGTCTGATTAGTTGACCGTCCGCTCTGAGTGTTGATCGGAATCGGTTTCTGTAAGGTTTTTGTTTGAAACTCACCCCAAAGGAGCCCACTAAATAACATGTGACGAATCTGGACTTCACATGTGCGGAATTTAAGTCTACTGTCATTTCTCTTTTTTTTGTGTAGTGTAACGCAGTAAATCCATTATGAATCACGCGCACCTCAGCCTTTGATGACGATTCTTTAGAAACGGACACTTCTCGAGAACAAGTCGTGTCCTTCTTCGGCTTTTCGGAATGCACGAAGACGACGTCGGTACGTGCACAGCTTCGTCCTTCCTCACCAGAAATCAGGCGCTTAAATCTGTCAGGCAATTTAATAGGCTCTGAAGCATCAGCCGGTGAACAGGAACGGTTACTAGCCACCTCGTCATTGTTGTTACTGCTATTGCTACAAACACTACTGGCGTCGTGATCTGGAAGCACACTGTCCCTACCCCCGGTGGTGCTGCTGGTGTCACTGGCATTATCGTTTGCATCTTCGTCAGAATCCTAGGGGAGGGGAAGGAAGAAAAGAAAATGACTTTTAACTTCACACAGATACATGCACTGTTAATCAAGCTCGAGAACAAAATGGAGGAATATCGACCGAGTTCTGTTTTAAGGTTTCCATGGACCGAAAAGTGCAAGTTTATAACCGAAATGAACCCGTTCACTCCCAAGATCTCATTTTTAATTCACCTTACGAATTTGTAATTGGATCAACTAATAATCCCTTAATATATTTCTATTCTCATCACATGTATGCTTGAGAATGTGATGATAATGTAAGGAGAAATTCTGTCCTGATCACTCATTGGAGTTAAAGAGTTCAGTGATATCTTAACTGAACAAGCTTACTAGCTACAAGATTTCATAAATGACCAAAATATTGCAGCAAATATTTCCTGATCTGCGGGAACAGAGCGGGCGATTCCAAGGTTGAAAGACAGCTAGGGTAGCCAATCAGAAGACGGGACTTGCTTCTTTCTTTCTTTTTTTCCCTTCTCGCGAGATATGCCATGCAACAAATTATAATACACTGGAAATATGAATTTACCTGAGTCTGAGCCTTTTTCCGCTTGTCATTTGTTTGATTTTCCGGTGACTGATCTCGTCGCCGTTTCTTCCCTTTCTTCAGTTTGCCCTAAGAAAATAAGATCCAAACTGATTACCTCTGCAAGGAATAACAGCTGTACTATGTACAGTTTGGTTTGTTCGATGGACTCGTTAAGACAATTGTGAAATATCGAATATCTCATTATCTCGCTTTTAGCCAACAAGCAAGCTCTCCTTTTTATCACTCCACGAGAAAGCTTACTCGCAAGCTGTCTTGCTTTTACTGAGGTGTTGAAGAGCGAACTCGAAAGTTAACGAAAACCCTTACAGGATTTCAGCAAAGAAGCACCAAACATCATCAGCCAATCTACCTTCTTAACTTTGTCTTTTCCTCCATTACTGCCTGTACTGGATGTGCTCCCACTGGATGGCGAGGGAACTTTGTTGATCTTCGCTAATCTCCGACTCCCAACGGATGATTCACTGTTTGCTCCTGAAAGACAAAATTAAAAAGAATATTCCATTAATGCGAAACTCGGCTGCCTTTCGGACAATGGTTATTACTCAATAACTCGGGAATTCAACTGAGCGGCAAAACCAAACGACAAAAAAAAAAATTCGTGAAAAGAACGTGACTGAACTGAACTACCATTAACTTTTAATTAACAGCTTTTGGAAAGGAAAACTACTCGAAGTTGTGTATGGACTCCCTGAGATCTTAGGTAATACAGAATATTGGAATTTTTTTTCCTTTTGTTGAAACAAGGAAGGATACTCATTCTTTTTTCTCTTCTGACGCTGTACAAATGACGCGCAACAATGAAATAGGAAATTGTTTGAGAAACAATCGTGAAAGTCACTTTCACGGTGTTAAGTGCTGCGGAAATTCTCTTTTCTTTCTTCCATTATTGATTTATCTTTCAATGAATACGTTATGTTTTATGGAGCTTTCAGACACATGCGTCAATAGTAAAAATGTGTTACCTTCAACAGGGCTGGATGTCTTGTTACGTCCAGATCGTAAAGTTGTTTGGACGGGAGGAATAGCCCTTCTGCTTCGCAAAGCCAACTTTCCATTCACCAAATACCCGTCTTCATCTCGTATCTCCCTTTCCACAACACCTTTGAACATGTACGGAGGAGGTTCGCGTGTTTCGTCGGTAGCAGGAAGTTTGCCGTATTTCTTGTAGTAGATACGACAATCGTCGCACAAGATCACTTTGTTTTGACTGCCATGATGCCAGCTGCGAGACTCAGTAGTGTAGCAATGGCGACAACAGTAGAGGCTGAGAGGAAAATAACGAGACAATTCAGAGAGCTTAGGGCATCTAGAATACGAGTATCACGAAAAGCGTGACCGCCTCACGATTGCTCGCGATGAAACACGATGGCAAGAATATTTCTTCAATTTACCTCAAATCTCTTTCACTGTCGTCGCTGTCATAATCCTCTTCGCTACAGGAACTAAGATCAACTGCACCAACAAAGATGAAATAAAGAAAGATGTCACATATTTTGTAACAAGAGCGGAACTTAAAGATTTCAGGATAATTAAATTCAGTTTCGATTTCGAAAAGAACTCCTTCGCGAGTGAGTTCACGTACGAGCTCTATGTTTGACAGAGTTCTGTACACAGCTAGGACAAGTTAAGTCAAAACTTTCTTGTAGGAATGTTTAGAAGTGCTGGCAGTTTAGAAATATATCGCCAGACAATGACAAACAAACCTTGGTCAGCTACTCACCAAATTCACTAACAATGCTTTTGGATGATCTGGGAAGTGCTTTTCGTCTGAGCACGTTGTGTCGGCGGCGCCTGTGTGGACGAGAACTAAGTGCTGTGGGTGTCTTTTTCCATGTATAGTAATACTCTACAAGCTCTCCCTATTGAAAAGAAACAGACACTTCAAATTGAGAGGTAGAAAGCTACAAAATCGTCCAAATAATCACCGTAAATTACTCGAAGAAAAATATACGGGAAAAAAAGTTTAAAAAAGGTTTACCGTTTCTTTGTGAGATAATAGCTCTTTCTTGATCTTGTAAAAGTTCTTTCCATATTGCCGTAGTCCCTTGACAAACTTTTTCTACCAATATGAAAGCAAATAGTAATCGCTATGTAAGACAAAGTTTTTGTTTTAAGGAGTCAAGTACTTCTGGCGCAGTACATTACTGTCTAGTACGCAAAGAACAGGGAGTAAAAAAGCATGCAACATTGTGTTTATCAAGTTGGTGAAAGGCCAGTTCAGATCACCCATTTTACTTCTTTATCAACCTTCTGCTACCCTTACAATTTTGCATTTCGAAAAAGACATAAACATAAACATTAGTTTGTTTGATCTCGAATTTACAGAGAAGCTAAGAGGCTAACATCTTCGAAAGCAACAGTGAAAATAAAGATAATGCTTATAAACTCTAACTGGCAGGAGGTGGACCAGCTGCTTTATACAAGGGGCAGGCATGGAGTTTAACCAAAGGCAACCGAGAACAAATTCAGCAAGTAGATGGGTGAAGGGCGTCAACCTGACACCAACAGACTACAAGAACAATACCCTTACCACTCAGCCACAACACCGCCGCTCCTTTCGGTTTTCGCTTCACTCACAAGCAAGTAAAGAATTGGTCAGAAGTTAAAGAATAAATAGAGAGGCAGGTTCTCTATGTCCTTTGCAATCCACTCTGTCATGAACACTCAAATATTATTACTCACCGTTTCGTCTTCAGACCATCTCTTTTCCAGTTCCTTTGGGTAAGGTTTCTTTACCAGTGCTTGGAGAGCTTTGGCCGCATCATAATTATTCTGATGAAGCTAACAACAAAAACAAACACACAACCAAGTTGGTCAGCCAAATTAAAATCTTTAAAAACACTGAAGGAATATTTAAGACACACTCCTCATAAAAAGTGTGTCAGGAAAAAGATAGGGCAAAAAATTTAAGGTTGGTTTAGGCAAATGTTCCTTTTGGCACCTTAAGAAATGTAGAAAAGTTAGAGGAATATGGATACCCATGTTACAGTGCAAATTGTTAATCAACATATTGCTAGTTTTTATACACTTAAAACTAAACAACTTACTACATTAAGTGCATTGCTGGTGGTTGCATCTTGAGACACAGCACTGTAACCATCCTCGGGTGATCCACCATTGCACATGCCTGCATACTGCGCCATGCTCCTATAATGACACATTTACATTTGATCACAAGTTAGTAGGGTTTTATGTAGAGTATATGGCAGCAGACAATGCTGGAAAGTAAACAAGGCAAGTTAGAAAGTTTCACAGTTGATCTGTATCAACTCACTGGATGATTCTTGAGTTGAATAATGAAGCAGCGAGAAAAATCCTCTGAAATAAAAGGTGAAGTTTACCAGCAAAGGGCCCTTAAATAAAAGGTTGTGTGCGATGATGAGTGATTATAACTTCAGGCAGCACTCACCTGGCAGCACGCAGAAACATCATCAATTCATAATCATCAAGAGTTGGATTCCATACCTTGCAACAAAAAAGCACATCTTTCAGTTTATAATCTTTACCTATTTACCACACTCAATATGTACTTCTTATGAGCTTGTAAGACTTAAAATCAAAACTTACCAGCTCCTCCATTGGATTTTCCCTGTCCTCAAATCCATTCACAGGAAAAGGACAGCACTCTGGCAATGTTGCCTAAAAAAAAATGAACATGCTCACATTTGAAACTTTTTTCTTATTTACATTACACCAAGAAGGCAATATCTGTTATCTCCCACATATTGAATTAACAGCTGTATATTGTTGGTGATGAAGATAAAACTCCAAGTACTAAGGTTCATATTAAGTAAACCATAGTGGTAAATAATTTTTTTCCATCAATCCAGCACAAAATGATTTTACAAACAAATAAATGAAAACTAATTAAAGTCACAACATCAAACAGACAAGATCATAAATGTTTACTACACCCAGAAATGCTGACTTCTCACAATCTAATATCTGAAGATGTTTGAGTTAAGATCATGTCTCCTCTCAGCCCCTCCTCTTCCCCTCCCCCCCACCCCCCATTCCTACATTTGTTGAGGGACCACTACCTCCCTGTTTCCTCACACAAACTGAAAAACCCCAACATGGACACCCTTGTCACAGAAAGAATAAAATCACATCCGCCTTTGAAAAGAAATCCAAACTATTTTTTATCAGCTTTAACCTTTAAATCATTTCTCCTCCACTTTTTTTCACAAAAGTTAATTATTTGTTTTGAAAGAACAGGAAGTTTTATTGTTCGGTATGCAAGAGATCCATGAACAATCCAAGAGAGATGAAATTCATATTTACCTGATGGCTGACTCCAACTCTAATTTCCCCCTTAGTGTTTGCCAACCTCCTGGAATAACAAGATAATATATAAATATATATACATTTTTTTTTCATATCAAACCAACAATAACAAAATTGTAACTTTTAAACTTAAACCAGATAAAAGTTTAAAAGACATCAGTGTGCTTGATGGCAAAATCACAAACAATACCTTGTCTCTGGGTTGTAACCAAGCACATAGAAAAAGCAATCTTCCTTATCAATGTATCCTTTGACAGAGTCTGTAATCTCCACAAATGGCCTCACCTTGCACTTCCCCCTTAAAAAAAAAAATGCAAGATATATTGTTTAATTAGAGATTTTTGCATGCAGTAAGCCATACCGTAAACACTTCAACCCTATAACCCCTGAGGGTGAGGTGTAACAGACTGAGGCAAAAACTCACCAACTTCAGACAAGAACAATACTATTTTGTTTACTAACCTGAGGGCAGATGCGGGATACACATCTGTTGCATCAGAAATAAACAATTCCCGCTCCTTGACTGCAACATCCTCAAGAATGTTATCACCAGAACCTAGAAATAACAATTCCACTGTGAGATAGAGTGCAGATACTGCTGAAACAGAAACATTTAAGTACAAGACAAGTACAACTGAGACATTTAAGTACAAGACATACTTGACTGCTTGGCTCGTGTTTAGAAGCACAAGGAAAAAGTTTAAAGAAATCACAAAGACCTAACCTACCATTTTCAGCATTTCTATCTTGAATTAATAGCTGGTATACTGATTCAGGAACCTCTGAAGGTCGGTAATACCATCTGACAACCACTACCAGAGAGTCTCTTTTGCTCTGCAAGGAATAACATGTGAAATGCTATTTGCTGGAATTTTTCAGCTATTATTCATTATGATTATTCATGATGATTCTACAAACTTCCGCACATTGGAAAAAGGATAAAAACAATGCATTCAAAGCATAAAAACAGTACATTCAAAATAATATTCAAATGCTGTCTTATCTTTAAGGCTATCATTGAGATATCATGTTACATTAACCTGATATTTATTAAAGAGTATGACAATTTTATAAAACCATTTCTTAACCAAATTTTCATTTGTTACAGAACTCCTAATGGAGTTGAAATAATCTAAGAAATTTCTTAGCATTACAAAAATTCAACTCCTGACTTAACATTTTCTTTAACCATGAAGCTTTTCTAAGTTTGACATTTGCTTTGTAACATTTGGTTAACCAAAAAAAAAAATAAATGCAACCAATGCGATAAAGGAAAAAAAACAGGGCAATCTTTATAAAATCTCACTATATTCTTACAGAACGTTCCAATAAATTGGTAACAAATTTCAAATAATTTTTCAATTTCTTTGCAAAATCCTATTAGTTTCTAGTTAAAAAGCCACAACAAAGAGTCCTAAAATTATAACATTTAGCAATTAAAATTACTAACAACTTTGGAAAAAAGCGATTGAAACAGCTGTTGACTGTGTATGATAAGAATATTTCACAAACTTTCTGTTCACACAAAAATTGCCATTGTACCAATACTGTGTGCATAAGTCTCACAAAAAAAAAAGCGAAGCAAAGCACGTAGGATTTGCTACGAATTATTCGAAACTCAGCAAAATTATCACCAATAATATGTATTAGGGAAAGAAAGGACTATTTTCAATTGCAAAGTAAGATAATGATGGAAAAGTTACCGAATGCCGTGTTCATGCTTAGAAAGAAACAGAACAAAAACAAAAACCGGTTGATCGTTTGCAAATATCAAAGTAAACCATCTCGAGTCGAAAATCGTCAATTGTAAAAGTTGCACCTTGCGAAAATTGGATGATAAAGCTTGCAACTAAAAGCATTTTTATCACCGTTTAGGAATAAACAGAAAATCCTAATATTGTTTAACTACCACACCAAAATAATGTAAATATCAAACATTGAAGGTGTCAAACGAGGCGGGTAGGAAGAAAAAAGTAAAATTGGCCACCAGAAACTACTAGCAAAGGGCTTAATTTATACATCGACAGGAAAACCAAACCAAAACAATAACAATTTCGAACAGAAACTTACCATTCGAAACTCCTTGATAGCACAAATAAAATATGCGACATCCGGTCTTTGGCTGTCGATGTAAACACAGTCTACGAAGGAAAGAAATGGATCGGAAATCAAGCGATTTCCAACTTTACAATTGAAATCAGCGCGGTATGAGAGCGCGTGTTTATTTTGATGTTGTGTACTATTTGTTTCCAAATGTTTTCCGAGCCTGAGCACAATTTTTCATAACCAGTTCTAAATATTCAAGAAACGTTTATTGGAGATATAATTTTCTAGTGACCCCTGGAATTAATGCTTGTTGTAACACACGTAAAAAGTGTCTTATTCATGATCATTTCCACCACGTAGGTAAACATGTCGAATGCAAATTTACAATTTACACGATCCACAGGGCACATTGTTTAGCGGATAACACATTGTTCACCTGAAACCGCAGGATCTTTACGGACAAAAAAGAACGCACAAACGAAGCAAGAGCGCGCCACGTTTGTTTTCAAAATTCACTACTAACAGAATTCATGTTTTACGAATCCATCTTTCAGCTCGACGGGGGATCCGAGCTTTTCAACGGCCGATGTTATTTTTCCCTCTTTTTTTTTTTCTCTTTCGTGTGTGATATTAATTACAAGTAATTATTCTAATAGTACAAACAATCCGTATCGTTTTGAAATCGAACGATGTTTGACATTCGGAAAATTTAACTAAGCTTTTGAACTCCACTTACCTCCAGGTTCATAATAAATATCTTCTTCCGAAGTGTAAGTCAACTTGGAAGGTTGTGTGTTCTCATTCTTCTTGTCACCACTTGCCGATCTGCCATTGTGCTTCCGTCCTTTTGCTTCGCTTCCCTTGTCGTCTTGAGACGGTAAATTCCGACTCGAATTGGTCACACTTTTGCACTCTGAAGTATTTTCACTTTTACCCCCCATGCCGCGATTTGCTTGTAGACGAGTCCTCGGTGTGAAGTGATTTCTCTGCCTCAAGGGAAACTTATTGCCCTCGATCAAGAACGTAGGCAAGCTTCGTTAGCGACAAAAACCGCGTGATTGTCGCGGTTTCTTCTCTGACAATATGTGGTGCCGAAGGAATTCGTGCCGAACCTGAAAAATGAACAGGAAGAGAAAATGTACTTGAAAAATCTTTGCCCTTGCGCTGAAGGTTCCTTTCAACACCTCTCCACCAACACCTCATAATGTAATTCTTAATTTATTCAGACAATTAACCCTCACAATCGACACGTTCTCGCAACAGGAAATTTTAAACTGGTCCAATCCTATTTTATTTGCCTTAACCCAAGTTTCAGGACAGTTCCAACATCTTTTGAAGATTGATCGATCTCCTTCCCAGATTTTGAGCGTTTGTAGAGTCACGAATGTCGAGCACCTTGCGGTTTCCGCTTGAATAAATTCTGTGTATAATGTGAATGACACCAAAGAAACCACATTAGAAACCAATTGACGGCTAGCACTGCGGAAAATTTCGGTTGCGAACTTGGCTGACGATGTAAACGAAACCAAAGAGATTTTGCACTGCTGTGCTCCAGATTAAACATAGTACAAAGCGATAAGAGCATGACAAAATCTTTCCTATCGTGAAAGTCGACGAGTCGGTGACACATTCTGAAATCTATTGTTTTAAGATGATTATGAAGACAACGACCCACACCGGATAATTCACCGCCTTCAAATCGAACAATTTTTCACCCGAATCTCCACAAGTCAAAACCCGTTGGCTTGAAAGTAAAACGACTGTTCAATAACACGTTGTTTCTCTTTTCTTTCGATTTCACTCTGGAACGTAACTTTTTTTTTTCAAAACAGCAAAGTAAACATGCAAACCGTGGGATTTATTCCCTTGTCCGTGTTTGAAAAACCTACAAAAACATTAACAAACAAGCGAATACCGTCCGCCCACCGAAGCCGCCGTTAACTTGCTGCAAAACGAACACTTGGCGAATTGGAGGAGAAAATTCGCATATAATGGCCATGTTCTGTTTTACATGTGTTGTAAATATAATATATTATTAACATGAGAGATGTGGGCGATTATTGTCTCAACAACGATTACTCTTCAAACCGTTGAAACGTCTTGTTGTCTACGCGAGAGTGAGTTCCCCGTTAAAACGCAAAATAATGAAAAACAAGAGCACGAACAGATATACAAATATTTTCGAAGGAATATCTTACCTTTACAATATGACAACCATTTAACCATTTAAATCGAGATGAACTTAAATTTGCAGAGTCAAACCAAGCGATTTCAAAGCGAGAGATGCACACACGCTTTCAACGAGAAACAGATCACCTCTGACAAGAGCGACAACGACATAAATCTTGTCGAAAATCTCTGCGAGCAGCCCAACAAATGCTTACCCCCGGCCGAGAAAATGCTCTTTCCGTCAGTTGAATGCATAAACCGCACAATTTAGCTGTTTAGATGAGCAAAGAAGACAAGGGAGAAGTGAACAAACCTTGAACAGATGGTTTCTTTGTGGATCGTGATTGGCGAAATCAGCATGAGGCGTAGCAAGACGCGTTGTGATTGGCTAAACCGTTCTTAAATGCGTGAACCCTGTCATATCACCTGCGAGCTTATTTTGATTGAGGAGTTAAGTACATGTCAAACCTATTTCAACTACTTACATTTCTAATCCTAGCGTTAAACTCCTCAAATACAATTCAAGCCTTCCGAAATGCACCTTGTTCGCAGCAAGTAATCTTTAACCGATCTGAAGCTGTGGAACTGTGATCTTTCTACAAGGTGTAATGCAAATTATTTTTGATTGCAAGTGAAATATTGAATACCACGAGCCGAATAATGGTCTTGGTGACAACGATCACAGTCTCATTTTGTAAACACTTTTTCTTTCCTGTCAATCAAGCATTCACACTTCAAATCGTCGCCTTTCCAATAATTCGACACTGGAAAGTAAATTTGCAGTTCGCAAATCGTTTGTGCTCAAGAAAAAACCGGGTTAGTCACAATCTCGCTGGGGACGAAACATTTTATAATTTCGACATTCGTGGCCTTGAAGAGTGCTGTAGCCCAGAAATAAAATATTACAGTTTTTGTGAAGCTCAAAAACGTTATAATAATTCATTTCTGTTATTGTTATACAAAATCTCGAACAGGAGAAACAATGAAAACGGATATCCAGAACAGCTTTGGGCAATCACAGTGGGCGAGATATTTCAAAAACATAGCCTAAGAAATAGGAAATATTTTAGCTTTGAAAGATGACCTTCAAACTCTACCCTTACCAAACAACATAGAGCGTTTAAAATAACCAAGACCTTGATAAATACGATTCAATCCACTCCTAATAGTTTTTGTGACTTGAGGACGCAACGTGATGTCTCTCAGTAGGGGGTGTGTAAAACATTTACAATAAATTCTACCAGGCGTAACCATATACGCAAATATAAACTTCATTTTGCTATTTTCGGATATGGCATTCTTAGTTATTTAAATACTTTTTTCCAAATCGCCTGAACTATAGTAAGATAAACAATCTAGTGGAATAGAACTTCTTTGTTGATGTGTTACAGAGTTGTCAGTCTCATTGAGCGAAGCCGACGACTGAAAAATCCGGCATTCGACAGACCTTCAAAAGAGAGCAAATATACTCATTGGCACAACCTGCATTAATCCAAAAACCCTTTAAGAGTTTAACTTTCTAATAATCTGAATAAATTATCGGAAGAATAAAAAAAAAAGGAGCGCAATGATCGATGAATATTTCCAAAATACTGTTGTTTCAATATCTTAAAATATCTTCTGACCAATTAATCTCTCAATATTGACGTGATGTGAGTTTTAAGAGTAGATATCCATAATGCAATCAGAAAAGCGTTTTAAATTTAAAAAGTGAAAGAGCAAATTTTCAAGAAAATCAATGTGAAACCTTTCTCACAATTTTTTCGTAAACAATGACAAAAATTGGAAATGCGTGATAATTCAAAATGTCATGGCAGATGCCAATCGCGAGTGGCTGCTTGCGAAATTGACATGAAATAAACTACTCCAATTGAACATATTAAGAGAGATATTGCTTCCATTTTTTATGATTTATTACATTTCCCCCCCATAAATTTTCCAGTTAAATTGAAAGAGGAATAATCAGGCTTTCTTCCTGCGTTACTATAATAATAATCATCGGTGCAGCTTACGTAGTTCCTGCTAAATGTGATATTCCACCGATACTTGCGGTTTCGCCAAACGTGTCATCATTGTTTTAAAAGCAGATATGCGAAAAGATCCAGATACTCGAGTGAAGAACAAAAAACAACATAACCGGCTCTCTCTTTAGTAAAAAGGTTGCTGTTGAAAGTCACATTTACGCTTCCATGCTCCAGAATAATGAGGGAACACTGTAGCAAGCGAAATGTCTGTTTGAAGTCATTGTGAATTGTTGTAATACCCTAATAAGATCGCGTAGTTTATAAACGCCGTATGACGCGCCGACCACAATATCTGATTAAAAGATAAGTACAAATTTACCTTTTCCTTCAAACCAATACTCCTCTTTGGTTATCCACGTAGTTAAATATCTGAATTTTGTGCTTTCACAATGTAGAATCCTTTAGGTTCTTTTTAGCAGGCCCAAATGCAATTATTACTAATTACAAAATCATTTAGGAAAATATAAACGCAAGCAAAACAGACACATGAATACATTACAAACATGCCGGCTTAATTCCTCTAATTAAACATTCATCAAAATCTTTCCGAATGCATGGTGGTTTTGTCGTGAGCTCACAGGTCGAACATTGACAAAAAGATGTTAAGACTAAAACGCTAACAGGTTGGAAGAATAAATTTATAATTCTGTTCTACTGAGAACACTTTGAAATTCGATCCCAACATGTAACCTTCGACAGCTTACAACATGCTCGCGAAAGTAGCAGTAGTTCCGTTTCCAAATTACCTTTGATGATCTGTTTCCCCGATGTTTTCCAAAGGAAAACTTCCAAAAATCTGTGCTGGCTAAAAAAGACTTATAAAGCTTTCATTTTAAAACGTTTCTAGTTCCTTTGGCTGACAAGGATATTGTTGGGGACGATAATTTGAGGGCGCTTTCAACAGACATTCGTTTCAGCCTTCGACGCCACCGCACTGATCCGCACCACGAAGGGTGCCGCTTTCACTTGCGTTCGATTCACGCAACAAAAACAGGATAAACACAGCTTATAATCTTAATTATGAAAGCAAGAGAAATGTAATATAGGTAATCTTACCGTTAGAGAAAGAGGGAGCAGTTTCTAAACAGTTGTCGCTGAGAGCAAAATATCTTGATGTTTATCACCTGAGATCTGAAATAGAATTCTCGATATCACACATTTGCCTACTTAAATTGTCCCCATGGGAGACGTTATTCATGTTCTAGCTAATCACAACCGGAAGTGGTCACAACAGTGCAATGTTGACATCGCCACGAACCCTGCTTCTTGTTGTCTGCGCCCTCTTCCAGAGCTCAAGGACAAGAATTTGAGTGGAGTCTGTTTCGAATTTACTCTGTTTCACTAAAGCCATAAATTTCAAATAAATTCGAAAAGTTATCATCCGCGGCGCACGCGGTTAGCAAACACAATAAACAATGAAATTGACATCACAAAGGCGACACTGTAGATTTCAAGTTTGTATAGCAACTATTGCTTAGAGGGAAAGTACACTTTTAATGCTGTTTTCTCGCCGAAGTTTTGAGAATCTTATCGTTACATATTCGATAACCTTCAACGTCGCTTGGTTCTATTCGTCTATCGGTTTTGAAACGAAAATGCACCCCTTCAGAAAACGGTTTCATTTTTTTTTATTGTTTTCATAGACAGCTGCTGTTTTGCTAGGTGGAATAACTGATCAAGCTGATTTCCGAAATCAAATAAGAAACGACCAGAGGATATTCATGTATTATAAACAGCTTATTTAGAAGTCTTAGATACGTTTATTAGATAAAGATTTTAAAAGCGGAACCTTTCGACCGCCGGGTACTTTTTTCACTGCATTCAGTTAAGCATGCGCGATACCAATCGATTTTGTTTGTTTTAAATAGGAAGATAACTTAAATTTCGCTTCGAGTAATTTCAGCTGCGGAAATATTTCACCATGACGCAAAAAAAAAAAATTCCTTGTTCCGTTTGCAGCCAATATTCCTTTTTAAGCACACAGGTAACGCCAATCGAATGTATGCCGGATCACACAGCCATGGTAATTTTTAGCTCATCTTTATTTGGATCTTTTATTCATGTGCACACACGCGTTAAATTAGTTTTGTTTGTGGAACAAATACTCTTTGAATGAATTGTTCGATGTGTGTACACGGACCCTTTTTTACACACGTAAAAAAAGTACTGTTGATATAGATCACTATTGAAAATCTCTCCACTGGGAAAACAGTTTTTCTAAAAGTGCAACACTTAAAGTTATGTATCTCTTTAACTTCTCCGCGAGAGAGCGTTCGATTTGGTGGCGTTTTTGTTATTCGATTTTCTGCCTCATCTTCGTTTGATTTTTGGGGGGATCGAACCTATTGCTAAAGTGGTATTATTGGCTTGGTATCGCAGTTGACATCCAGCAACAAGAAACCACAGACAAACCAAAGTCACGAAGAGAACAAAAAACAATTTCTTGAATTTCAACACAAGTGCAATTGTACGTGCTGTGAGGACGACATGAAAAGGCTTATTACTCTCTTTGGGGTGATGTTATGGTGCTTTTCAGCATAGATCCAAGACTTAGTTTCATGGTTACGAGCTCTTTTAGTGGAATAAATATTTTGGTCTTAATGTAATATATTGACAAGAGATCCGGAAATCCGCTTAGGGTTTAAATCTGTTATTAACCATTCCCTTTTCCGAAATACCTACCATCCTTGAACAAAACAGGCGGCGAAACATAACATACCTTTATTTCAGCAGTTTTCGCTTATCACAGGCCATATATTTGAAACACACCCGCAGTTCTTACAAAAACCCACCCAAGGAATTGCTCCGAGCATATGAAAATAATTAAATCTTAAAACATAGTTGCACTTTCTGCAATAGGCAGATCCAAAGGTCGTTTCTAAATTCCCTGTAACATCAGATAGATGCACTTCCAATCTTCCAAATATTGTTACAAGAACCTAATGAATTATGTACAATATACCTGACCATAGGCATGTTTCACAGGGACAATTATCTTTCGTCGCAGCTGTCAGAAAATTATACAACACGATTTGATATCTGTCGTCGATTGATAACATGAAGGGTCTTGTCTGATGCGGAGCATAGCACGCGACCGCTGTCACGCAATCATGACGGATGTTACATAGCCAATACCCTTTCACCTACCTACGCCTGTAGGCCTAATTGAATTTAAAAAAGCCGTGAAGGTACATTAAATTAGTGTTTAAGGCTCGTTATCATCTTCTCGACCTGGAGGTTCATGTCATATTTTAATTTCCACATGTCTAATGTTAAAATAGGGGTGGTCAAGAAGCCATGTTCATATGACGCAAAGTCATCCACGTTCCAGCTTCCCCCCACCTTAAGAAAGAGGACAGCTGGAATGGAACGAATGGAAATTGAAGCCTTGAGCGTCAAAGATTCAGCAAATGCAATTTCCTTCTTTTGCCAAACGAAATTCAATTTACCAAAGAAGACAATTCAAATGATGGCCATCTCAGCCTGACTGAATTCAAACATGGTGCTCTAGCGAAGGTAAACATGGAAACTGACCGCTCATCACCAGGAAAATTTGCAAGAAGGCGCTTCTCAAACAAATGTGTTCGTAACAGGGATTACATTTAAAACAGGGGATGATTTTAGAGCAATACCAGGAATACCCCAGTGCCCTCACCCCCCAAGGGATCCAAGCGCACATAATATTTAGACTATGCCAGCACGTTTCCTGTTTTTACAATGAAATAGCCTTAGTTAACCCTTGTTCCCCTTGTAAGGCGAGACTGCTGCACGAAGGGGCGTAAAGAAAGCTGATAATTCCCTGTTCTCTCAGATTTGAGTCGCAACGTGTCCGATCAGTGTCTCTAAGTTTGGTTGCCAAAATTACTGGACCATCAAAATAAACAGTTCTTTGCGATGATCTATATTATTCAATCAATGATTCTAAACGCTTTATACTGAACGCTTTATCCTCGAGAGTATAACACTCATCGGGATAAAAATATGACAATGCGACAAAAATAGCACACTTAATTTGTCTGAAACGGCGAGCGTGATTATTACCTGGTTTTTACACGCACACGCGCGGAGTCACGCATGTCGTGCGAGGAGGCGGTAAGTCATGAGGCGTTTGTTTGTAATCAGGTGTAGTCTGAGCTCTTTCCGCGTTACTAACTCTTCATTTGCTTCATTCATGATTAAATCATGTAGGAATGTAAATAAAATGTAAATATCAAGCTTGCGCGTAATAAGCTCGTTAGGAGAGTCAAATCACGTTAATTGGAACAAATCTAGATGATTCTGGATTGGCTAGGAACACATATACGATTATAACGAGGACTTAGGCGCCTTAAGAAATGTAGGACATCAGGTTTAAGTAGAATATGGCAGGTATCAGAAGTGCTTGGTAGTAAAACTAGTCAATATTTCCCCATAGTATCTTGGTGGGTATGCGTGCGTGACCAAACAAGTCTACAAGCCTCTGGACTTGAACAATAAGTTGATAGGCAAACAATTCAAAAAACTTATTACAAAAGGGTAAACGGAAACGCGATTGATACTATTAATGAGTATTCTTTTCCTCTAAAGTTCAAATGAGGGCATTTTGATGTAAAATTACTATGTTTACAGGTAAAACATGGTCTTTATCAGTTGGTTTAGAGACTCGGTTATAATTCATTGTTGATGTGTCGAACACAGAATCCGTAAAATATGGTTGACCTCCCAGTTAGTCTGTTGTTGCTCTGGAATATGTCAAATTTGTCCACATTTGCAACTGTGCACGACACAAAAATCGAACCTTCCGACCCAAATGGCTTCATGTGACGACAAAAGGTGCCATATGAACAAAAAAGACGTTAATTTCTTCAGGAATGTAGCCATATCTATTCCGATACATGCGCGTTTTGACCCGCAATAATGACCTCAATATTATGTATTTACACAAAGTGATCGGTAATCTTGAAAATCTTGAATCCTCTTTAAATCTGTTCTTCAAAGATGCGTCGCGGCGACACAGACGAAAACATAAACTCTCAACATAAATCCGCCCCCATACGTCACAAATTTTCTTGGACAGAATAGAAGTGGCAAATACTGTTTTTAATTTCGCTCACTTGTAAATGCTTCTCGCATCCAGCATTCTTTCCTTTACTGTAACATAAACTTGAGGCTAATCTACCGCGAATCTTTCGTAATCGTACGACCTAGACTGTCGACCTCGAGAAAGATTACGATCGAAACTAATGATGGCTTTAGTTGCATTCCATCAAATTGAAAGGGTCTTAAACTTGTGCTTCTCGACTCTGGAATTCTGAAGAGAGCATAGAACTCATTTCGGAAATCGTCCACTTTGTTCCAAGTTCAAAAGAAACCGCCAGGAAAAGGCATTTCTAACATGCGAATAGGTAGAAAAAAACGAGAGAAAAAAATGTTTGTTTTCACAAGCCATCTTGTTCCTTTGTGTAAAAGATTAGCGATGCAATCATGGTTCTTAATCAATATTACATGCAACACCTAAAGAAGATATCGAACCCCCTAAATACGCGTTTGAGGCAGGGTTGTTAGAAATCCATTTGAATGTAGTGTTCGAGAAGTTTCTTTACAGTAGTAAACCCGCTATTAACACAATTTCTTACCTTATCAAGCCTGAACAAGACAAGCAAAGCTCTTGGCTGGTAGTGATCTGCTACTTGAGCCGTGTAATGTGGATATGAGTGTCTTCACTGTACTACTAGAATGGCAGTTGTCATAGGGGTCAAATGATATTAGTTAGTGTCTGTCACACAGGAACAATTGATTCAGCACTTTATAAACCCCTGAGGGCTTAACATTATTATACACAACACGCAAAACTTTAGTATTATTTTGATCCAGTGTTTTGGCGAGTTTTAAATTCCATGTAAAATGTAGGTGTTAGTAGTGAAGTCTTAGTAAGGATGTCGTGACTAATTCAATCTTGAAATCAATGGTATTTGGTAATTAAGTTTTGAAGAGCTGATCTATGTAAACATAAGTAAATGATGATGAATTTTATCACGTTTCCCACAGGAATGCGTGTTTATTCAGCGTTACACACGACATTAATGAACCGTAAACTTTTAATGAAAGCCTGCTTAGTTAATTCCTAATAACAGAAAGAAATTTTGTATAAAACGGAACATTTTGTATGCAGGGTATTCCTGCTAAAGACTACTTCAATTATCAAATTTGCAGGGTGCAAAAGACGTTGAGTCTGATATTGTATCACATGACATTCGTTTGTCAACAAAGGGCAAAAGGTGTAAAATGCTGGAAAAATACCGACCGTTAATTTTATCAATGACTTAAATCCCACGAGATGTTCAAAGTCATATGTCCAAGATCGAAAAGGTCGGTTTTTTTAATTACCCTGAGCTAGAAATCGAAACTTGTGATAGATTTTTGCACGGGCATATACTGTCTTACTTATTTAGCAATGCTGTCATCCACTCGACATCAAATGTTGAAGAGATTACAAAGCAAATGTAGACAATACATCTTAAAAAATACCTACGTCTTCTTCGCCTATGGGCGTGGATGCCCCAGCCTGTCAATCAATCTGTTTCGATCGTCTCCGGTATCTTAGCAAGCAAATGTGCGATTAAGCGAAAAAAATTCTTGACGCAAATGATATTGATCAAGCTGGTTCGAACCATGGAACTCAAAAGAGCCTCGTCACTTGCTTGAATATCTTGCAAAATTTAGCATTAAATTTTTCAAGACTGATAACCTATCTCATTCTTCTCCATTATCCATCCTAGTTTCGCCATGGTTTACTTAGAATTCTAGAGGATTTATTCACCGCAGGGAGCTATTATTTAAAAGGTTTATTCCAATATGACTCAGTTTTCTACCTTATCAAAATGACCTGATGACCCCAACTATCTTGTGACGAAGCAGTTTCCAAGTTTAAGTTCCGGTCTGGACGCATCTCAAACTCTCCCGGGGAAACGGCGAAAGAGGAGGTTATTCCCGGCCAGTGACAGGATGTCGGTGATACTGATATCGAGATAGACACACAATCCACAAAAAGCTTCCTGGGATTGAAAGGGGGACTCCGAAAATCCCCTTGGAACAACCACTTACTTACAATAAAAATTAGACGTAATGATTCACGAAGATGAGTGTCCTGGTGCCGGTGGTGTGGTGACCTTCGTAATAAATGCGGCATATCTTAACTGAATAATCTGGATTATTAATTACTGCCCACTGATCTGATCGAATCGTGTAAGGTCAGTCTCACATAAACAAAAATCCTTGTCTCGTCCAAGTTTTCCAATAGAAGCTATTCATGATTTTCACTCGGGTTGAAGACGCATCGAGAACGATGATAATGACGATATGTACGGACAGCCCCTGAAGTTACGAGCCTAAATGAAAATTGTGACTATAAAGGGTGACCTAGAGAGTACATCAAATCCCTATTTGCTGAAACAGAAAATAACATACTCATAACTGGGGTGAGGAAAAAAGCTTGGTCACGTGTCAGAGATTTATTTAAGATCCGATAAGTCCATAGTCGTGGCAAAAATAAATCTGAGATTGTAAAAAAATGCTGCTATATCAAAATCATTGTTAGATGACCAAGTTCCACTTCATAGTAAAACAGCAACTCCATACCGTATTGTTTAGTTGTCACTAGAATATCAGAGGGACCTTAATAAGCAGTCAGGACGACAACGCCGAGTAAAACGTCTTTAAAAATTAGTTAATACTTTTACTTAGAATTTCGCAAATGGCTAAAGGTGTTTGCCTCCTCCTCTGGCGCCACACCTCAACTTCAGCAATGCGTATGTGGGCAGTGTTGAGTTCCAATTAAAAACTTACATAATTCGCCGTCTGGATCACTTTCCTCAGACCACGCAAACTTCGGTGATTTCACGTTTTTCTTTTGCATAGGATCGGACGGCTGAGAAATGTACAAAGTTTCAAAACGCACGTGCTGAGCTGTTGTTCTGATTGCTTTTTTTTTGTTTTTTTGTTTTTTTTTTGTTTTTTTTTTTGCCACGTCCTTGTTGACGCCGCGCTATGTGACGCCAGCTGAGTTAAGTATATTGCTCACGGAATCCAAATGACCCAAATATACCACAGAGAAAAAGCGGCCACTTTTAAACATAAAATCAATCAAGCGAAGGAAGGCCCCTTTGTATGGCTCATCTGTTAAAGGAAGAGGAAAAGTTGAACTGATATCTGCGCGTGGGCAGGAAAGTTTGAAAATTGAATCTTAAGACTTCATAGTGTGAAATTACGGTAATTTTCAACACGTTGTTTTTGATCTGATATGCCTGCAAAAATAGAAAGCAAAGCATCTTTAAAAATATCCAAACATCACTCAAGCCACACGAGAAGTATATTCTAAAATCAAAGTAATCACGTGTCTTATATCATATGATGTTTTGACTTGCACACGAGCTTGAGTCGGCCGGCATCACAAACCGACGAAGCCATTTAAGATATCAGACTTCCGGCTTAGAAAACCAAGCTTGTTATTAGAGTAAATAGACCGAGCAATTTATACCACGCGAGGAATGAATGAACGTGTTCGCTCTGTAAAGAAGTTCTCACTTCGAGATATCAGCTTCCCTTATCTGTTTATAGTCTCTTATCTCACGTGACCTCTGCGCGACTCTTTTGGCCTTACACAAGATTAGGTGTCCTTAGCCCTTAACATTTTCTCTATGATTCAAATAAGCAGGGTTGTTATTGCAGAAAGCAGGCGATATAAATATGAAATTATCTATGTTCTTTTTTCTATCTATTTTTATGAGGGGTAGCCTCTTTGATATAGGAAAAAAATGTAAAACTTACAGTATTTCTGAATCCTGCTAACCTGAGCTAAATATACAGAACTACGAAAAAATGCAAAAATTTATCCTATCGAGCACTTCGAAATACGTCCGATGTTATCTTCGAATAACTGGAACAAATTCTAATTTTCCTCCACTGGAAACTCCGCGCTACCCATGAGCCCTAAAAGGATTGATTCCAAAATTTGGGAAAGAGCAATGACCAGATTACCGACCAAACCTTGGTCATGTGAATTTCGTAATCTATAGCAAGCTATTAGACGCTGAAAGTTTGAAACTTGTTCTTAGTCTTCCAAGATAACCCCTTATTTATCGACGCATAGGATTACAATTTCTCTGATATTTTCTCCACTGTTTTTCCAATTGAAACAAAACAGTTGTAAGCTGGTTTAAAAATAACCGGACAGCTGTGCCACTTAGAACAGCAGTGACACTTGGAATACCTGGGATACTGGGGGTATTATCTAGGACAGCTGGGACAGTAATTGAAGGTGACACGCAAATTGGCATCCTGTTTCCCCTGATCGACCGAAGATCAGGATCAGATGTCGTGGAATCGGAGTGTAGAAGTCTGTATAGCATTCCGTGTTGTCTTAGGGGAGGGAGGGGAAGAGGGGAGGGGGGCGAGAGAGATCCAGAATGGCAGGTAGTTTAAGCGTGGTATGTAAAATAAATTGGTACAGGGTAAAAGAACTTGAGCTCTTATTCTTTTATTTGCCATTTGAGACATCAAAAGGAGAAAAGCTGGCCATATTTGACAAATCCCTTGTTCTCCAATCTCGAGCCCAAGTCAACTATCCGCTGACAAGGAGCCGAAATGACCTTGGGCTCGAGATTGCTTTTTCTTAAATTAATAAAGGGGGTAAGTTTCTAAAGAAACTTGATAGTGCGTCAGTGGTGGTGCACTTATTGCTAAAAGTTACACATTGGTGAAACAGGAAGACGACTTGGTGACTGATTCCGAGAACACCTTCGCGACGTGGAAAGAAATAACAAGGACGCATCCAAACCAGTCGATAGACACTTTAATCTCCCTAACCATTCCAAGCAGTATATGGCAGTTTGCGGCCTTTCCGTACATTTAGGCAGTTCGGAAAGCCGCAAAACTCTAGGACAAAAATTTATCTTTCAAATCGGCATTCTTAATCCTCACGGTATCGACGAGCGTTTTCATTCAACTAAATTATTCTTGTTATCTCGTTACCATATTCCCACTAATAGTGTATGTCTATTTTCTGCATATAAATCCACACACAACCCACAATTCCTCTGATCACTCTGACGAAGGGCTAACGCTCAAAACGTCTGCTTTTAAACTCTTTACGGTGGCCAATTTACGCTATCGACTCAGTTTATAATACTGAATTACCTTGTTTTCTCAAATTAGTTTCCCTTACTGGTTTTTTCCCATCACTCTCCTCTCCCGCACTTTGATGATACAGAATCACAACCTGCCCCTCACTCCAGCCCGAAAAGGTACAACTGATCATCAAAATATTGATATTCAATAGAACGCTCCTTAAGTGTGATTAAAAATTAAAATTTTTATTCTTCTGAATTTAGGTAAGTAGATTGCGTGACTCCATCCGAACGCCGTCGTTTCTGTCGGATATTTCCGATACTTTCCGTCATTGCTCGTTCGTCTTCGGTCGTTTCCGATCACAGGAAGAAGAACAACGCTTGAATGGTTTGTTCATATCCCTGACCAGAATCTGTATTTGTTCTTCTTGGCAAAATATGGGTGATCAACACAAGTTTTTGAAGAAACGAAAAAAGAAAGAGGTAAGTTCATTTTAGCTTGTCTTCTGTTCATTTCTATCGCGATATTTGTTTAAAGAAACGTAAATGTTGCGACCCTTGGCCCGGCGTAGGATGTGCGTTTCTTGTTTGTTGCGTATCGTAAGTCGTATTTGACCGAATTTTGCCAACGGAAGAGAGTTATCGACTTATAGTAATAAAACGCGTTCAATCTCGTCAAATTTAGGCGCGAGATGACTCAAAAGAACCCTCCAAAGAAGAAAACGAGATTGGAAAATATCTGAAATGGAACTGCCCTTCAAAGTCGTCCACGATGATGGGTGAAAAAGTTGAATATTTCATCGGTAAGGAACGATCTTATTTAGGCTTCATTGTTCTTCCCAAAAGAGAAAGTATCGCTT